TGGGATGGGAAGATAGGGTCTTTCGGTAAATAATATAATCTAATGATTTTGAAACTAATCTTAAAATATCACCTCTACCCAATAAAAGACTAGTCTCACTTTTTCTTAATGTTGGAACTTTTTTTGTCATCCTTGATTACTCTTTCCGGGTATTAGGTCAAGATAATCTTCTTCCCTTTTATATATAAAAGATGGTAGGTACCCTATTATTGCATTTCCTAGAAAAAGAAAAGAACCATTCGTTTATATTTTATTAAGAACAGAGGATTAAAAGATTAAAGGGACCCATCCTATCTAGAGAAAAATACAACCACGTTCTGTTGTGTGGAATTTTCTAAATGTTACAATGGAGCCTTACACTTACAGGATGCTAATAAACAGTCTCCTTTCTTGTATCTTGTTCAGTTGAAGCAACACATGATAGCCCATTTTATACAGTGTACAACATCTAATAGGAAACAAAATTTCTAATACTACGACATACAATATTATTTAACTTCTGCAAGTAAATCGTGTCAAAAGTAGAAACAAATTATCACATGATAATTTGGTTAGAATCCGGCTCTCAGCTGCATCCAGACAGATTTCAATTTCAACACAGGCCCGGCCGGACCTTACTAGAAGATCCAATAATAAAGTGAGTTCTTCACAAGGTACGACCAGAACTGGTTGGTAAAATTCACAATATAGAAGCTTACATTTTGTAGCTAGGCATATACTTCGTGACATTCTGTATGGTAGGAGGAAGGAGGAAAGAAAGAAGAGCTCTATTTTCCTATCATCTTGGACATCAAATCTAACACTAGGCAGAGAGATGATTTCCCTCTTTAACCGACACAAGAAATAACTAGAGTGACACATCCTGCAGCAGTAAAAGAAACAAAGGACACATTGTCCTTACCACTTTCGACAAAAGAGAGTTTTCTAGTGTCGTCAAAATTCATCAAGGGCTCAAAAGCTTGAAAAACAACACTACGAATTCCCCCTCTTAAATGTGGATGGACAAAAGAACCATGGGAATAGTTGATTATATCAGGGATGAGCAGAATTTAATGCATCGGCACACTCAATTGGAGTATGCATAAGTGGGTTCCATCTATCAAACACTATTCTGCCACCTCGACCAATCCTTCCACGAGAATTGAATGTGCGTCCAGCTAGGCCATTTTCCATTGAAGAACCTGGAGGTTTGATACTTGCAGCTGCCAATTTTTCTGGATCAAGAGGTTTAGTAAACAGGAGAAGTGGCTCATTTGGATCCTACAGCAAACCAATAAGAGCAAAGTCTGGTAATTAGTTTAGTACTATGAGTGTGTTATGCTCAATGTATGCTTACACACAAAAGTGAGTCATGTGAATATATGAACCATTAAAGAGGAGATCAAAAAGAAACATCAAAAGAGTAGGCAAGCACCAATTTGTGGAGCCATCCAGGTGGGACATGTCGACGTTTCAACTCTCGCTCTTGCCTCATGCTTCCAGCAGACACCATCACTGGCTTTGAGTCAACGAAGGTAAGATTTGGCGAGACATCAAACTGAGCATGTGGACGGCTAATAGCAGCATCATCCGAGTCAACATATTCCTCTTCACTTGAACCAAACATACTTGGGAAGGAAGGAAATCCAGGAAGAGCCAACGTGTCCTCGAAAAGCTCAATTTCGTTCTGGAAACCAAGAAACTTACTATTATTCATTCAGAATCAAAGCGCATTGCACATAAATGACCTTAAAGCTTATACCAAAGAGCTGAGAACCAGTTATGGTGCTAAAAGATGTTGAATTGAAGAGGTCATGGCAATATGGCAGTTGACAAAGAGGCAGTCGGCTAAAAAAAGATCTGTCCCACAGGCCACAATCAAAGATAGTACTTGCCATAAAGAGTTACCTCCACTTTTAACCTATCCAAATGATTTATCACCAGCCCATTCAGCACAACCAACTATTAATGGATTACAAAATATTCTTTTCCAGTACTGTTTCTAATGAAAGTTCTTTTCCAGTACAGCAAATGGAGTTGATTCATAGCATGTAATATAATTAACTCAATTTCATATAACTCAGAAAGCAATCATCATTAAAAAGAGAGAGGGCATACTCGTAAAATGTTGTCTCCTGTCATGACTTGTGACTCAAAAAAAGTTACTTCATTGTGGATTGTCAAACGGCAATATCACTTCGGCAAGTAGGTATTACAAGCATAAAAGTTGCAAAGGAGAAAGAAGAAAATACCACACTCTACATACCTTGTGTTTCATCTGAAGTCTCTGAAGACTAACCTCACTCTCCACAACTTCTCGTTTCTTCTCCTCTCTCTGCATATAATCACATCAAAGGATTTGAAAACTGCTGATGAAGTGATCAGAGAGATGGACGTTGTAGAGGTTCTTTATTTTGTGTTAACAAGCTTAGAACGATAAAAGTACATGCTATCCATATCTTCACAAAAGTACATGCTATCCATATCTTCACATTGAAATTTTTTTGATAAGTCTTCCACATTGCAGTCCATATATACTTAAAGCTAGGCCAAAAAGAGATGGTAAAAAGAAGAGTGATGTGGCATCTCTCTTCGGCCAAGAATCCTATCCATCTTTTTTTTCTTCTTTTCTTTTGAGCAATTTCTTCTATTTCTTTTTGTACAAAAATTTAATGTGTCAATTACTACTCCACTCATTCATATTTTTATAGTTGACTTAATGGTCTGTATTTTCACTGCCCCACAACTTTTTATTACCATAACCCTAAATAATTAATAGTCGTTTTAAACTTTAATGGCATCATTTGACATTCCATATGGTAGTCCTATAAATGGAGACACTATTAAGACTGTTGCAAAAAGACATGATCATATTAGTCAAGAATGTCACCCTCAAGTGTCACCCTTCTTGAGTATCAAATATAGCAATAGGCCTATCGGACATAGTAATAGGCCAAAAGCAACCGGTTGTAGTAGTGTAGATAGACAGATTTTAAAGAGGAGAAAACATATGAAATCGATTCCACCCAAAATAAGTAAACTGCAAACTTACAAGTAGCTTATGTAGTTTTGACATTGTTTGATTGTTTGCAATTTGTAATATGTAGAAAATATATAAAACCAACTCAGGAAAGTAGACAGGTAGCAGCAAAATTTGCATATGAACTTATGCAAAATTGTAATTCCTCAAATTGTGAACTTATTAGATTCATTAAAACTGAACTTTGTATCATATCATGCAATATATTCTTAACAATTGTTGCTTATCTTTATTTTACAACACATTTACCTTTTCTCTCATAAATTAGCTGTTTCCTATTTTTTTCTTCATCTTATTTAAGCTAAGTTGCTCGGACTCTTTCACTTTTGGTGCCGCACCCATGTCGCACGATGTGGGTGTATGTGTCAATGTGGGATCTATACCTGATCTGGGCAACTGGTTTTGGGTATTTTGACCAAATTCGAGGGAGAAATTCTAGACAAATTCAATTATTTCTGTAAATCAAAATAAACACTAAGGTAAAATTGAAGAAAATGAAATACCTTGTATTTATAAATTTCTATTTTCCCTCTCTTTCCTTTTATCTCCTTCCAAGATTCTCCCCTTGATGAATTCTCCTCAAGTTTTCCACATAATATCAAATAATTTAGGTTTTATAGCTCTATCCGTATCCCCATATATTAAAAACTTAGATCATAAAGGATCTGACCTATAGTCTGCACCCTTGTCCATATATGGATCTGTATCCCCATATATTAAATTTTAGGTCATAAAGGATCTGACCCGTTTCAGACACCCGAGTTTGAGCAACTTAGTATTTAATAATTTCAAAATTTGTTCTTTCTAACTTGTGGTACTTTTATTATTCAAGAAGTTCTTTTAATGTTACTACATAAGAGGACAAAGTTATTACTTAATGCCTTCACTCTGTCCAAACAATCAGGAAAGCTAATTATCCATGGTTAAAATGGTGAGAGTGCTCTAGTGATGATGCAGATTAACTACAATCATTATTGCACAATCACACCATTACTAATGAGCAAGAACCCCCCCAAAAGGAAAAGAAGCTTCCTTTTTAATTTTTTTCATATGTAGCAAAACATGTATAATTCAATCGAGAAAAGAAGACTAATTGGACAAGTCATTGTGAGAGACGAGCATAACTCTTCACATTCAATTGATTTTAAATTTGGAAAAAATACAAGTATAGTTCAATCAATTTTCATTTTTTATTTTGATTTTGCTTATTTTAAATACAAGGTATACATCCTTTCAAGAATAAGATTCCAACACAATTTAACCCAACCAAAGAAGTTGCAACATAAAAATTTTAAATTCATCTTAAAAGGCTAATTAGAAGCTCGTCTTCCCAATGACTTTTTGTTGCTAATATAAAAAATTTAAAATTCATTCATATTTATAATAAAAACTTGGCTTCTTCATTAAGGATAATAACAATTGAAGTATTTTTATGTGTGAGAAATAGCAAGTTTAAGATGAGAAAAAAAATTGAAGTATATTCTTGAATATGGAAAAATGTTTATATTTTTTCATGACCACGTGAAACATGGGCTGTTTTACTGGTTAATTCAGAAAGACAAACCTTAATGAGAGCCTCAAGAATGGTCTTTGATTGGTCAAGGCTGCGCCTAACCTGTAGAATATGACATACGATTTTATATAATACAATTTAATTTAAAAAAGGAAGTCAACACAATATTTAGCAGAGCCTCTGTACGAGATGCAAAGTATCCCTCTCACCTATTATATGGGAGGCATGCTAGAGGAAATCAAGTCAAGCAACACAGCTTTTGTAACTTAGTTTATCATTGTTATATCACCAAGACAATCATCTTATACTTGAGAGAATTAATATCAGATAAGCAATTGATGTCAGGTGTAGGCACCAAAAACATTGGCATGAGTGACCTACAATTTGCAACTTAAATTCCACCATCTTAAAAAGAGATGTTCAAATTCATTTCTGGAAACAGGGAGGTTGAAACACAAAAAGTCGCAATTATTCTGGTTTGGTGTTGCAATACCATGTTCATGCAGAAGTTGAAGATGGATTGGACAATAGTTACAACTAAAAGTACATAACTGAAGGAATTGAGGTTGTTATAGACTGGCCACTTGGTTGTGCCAATATTTTATAGCAAGGGTCATGAGCAGACTAAGAAAGATGCTGAGCAAGATCTGTGATGAAAGAGTGGCCTGGGCATGTTCATGCAGAAGTCGAAGATGGATAGGATAATATTACTACTAAAAGTACATAAAATGAACGAAATGAGGGTGACAAAGAAAGGTCACTTTGGTTGTGCAAAAAGTTGATAGTAAGGGTCACGAGCAGCCTAAGAAAGCCACTGAGCCAGATCTGCGACGAAAGAGTGGTTGGGCCAATAAGCAGGGCAAGGAGACGATCACACAACCACAAATGAAAGCCCTGTTGGTAATTTTTTTTTTCTTTTTTTTTTTTGATGAAGTAATTAGTTCTATTGCAGGCACCAAGTAGATGCATAATAGTTACAAACGCTTAGTAGCAAAAGGTCAGCTCTCCTTTACATTGTTAATTGAGAATCAAGGAGCGGACATGGTTCAGAAATGAATCAGGGCAATCTAGAGGGTGGTAATTTTTTTTTCTAGTTGTCAGCACGTGCAGAAGAAACAAATTGAAAACTCTTAACGGTAATTCCCCACTCACCTGGCGAAGCTTTTCAAATGACTGCACATTGTTTTCCCTCCTTTGCATCTATGACAGAAAAAGGGAAGTAAAATAAATACCTCATAACAACTAATCATCAAGGCCAATGTGTTAGAAAGAATATCTAAGGTCAAAGTAACCAAAGTCGCATACCCTCCTTGTGTGAAGTCTGTGAGCCTTCTCCCTTGGCCTAAATACATTATATGGATTGGTATCACTAACAGGTGGAGGAGGCTGCAAGAATCAAGGTAGAAAAGCAATCAGAAACTCAGAAAGTAATCACTTGTAACTGATGGAGTCACAGAACAAAATCTAAATACGATGATCTCTTACGAGGTGCATATATCAAAAATCCACCAAAATGAAATAAAGAAAAGGAACCTTAAACTTTTCAATAGGAAAGATATCACCAGTCATATGTTAGAAAAAAATTGTGCAATTAGGAGCGATGATGCAACAATATTTCATGTGAGAATTTTTGCACGAAAACATCAGTCAGACAGGAAAAAGCAAGACAGAAAAAATGAACAGTGGATGCAACATCGGGACTTTTAGTTTTGAGGGATATGAAAACAATCAAAAACATTCTATTTGAAATATCTGACTCATCGTCAAGAATGAGGACAGGATATTAAAAAAGGGAATGTGTAGCATTAAGTGCTGAAGAAGCATAAATACCAAATTCTAATTTTAAGGAGCTTCACTGATACAATTTAGTATTTTCTTCTACAAGTATGGCCAAAAATTAGACAGCATTAACATTATTGAATGATATGGGTCCAGCTTTCTCTCTAATGGCAAAGAGTAACTTCACAAAATAACACGCAGAAAATCTCTTTTAGTGCTTGAAGGATATGTTGAAATTAATGTGAAGCGATGAAAGAAAACATCAATAGAAGAATATGGTCATGGCTTTAGTTGATGCTTATTAAAGGCCCAAAACAATCAAAGAGAACCAGTCAAAATGTTTGATATAGCAAGGAAAACTGAGAATAAAATGACAAGGACTGAGGTAATTAACTGTCATAAGAGGAAATTAATTTAACACACAAGAAGACTAAATACTGGAAAAACTCAGATAGACGTAGAAGAGAAAGGAAGAGAAGAGAAGGCCAAAACAGAAAGAGGGAATCAATTGGTTTATGCAAATTTTCTTGGTACTTATTGAAATTAATAAGAATGTAAATTCAAGGAGCTATATCCCTATTTATTTCCTTCTTCATTCCTATTAACCCAGCTCCCGAGTACACATTTTCAAGAGAAGAAGTGTAACTGAACTAGCAGATAACGATTATATATGTCATCTAACGTGACAACCAAATCACAATGAATTCAAAAACTATTAAGGCCAAAAAGAAATTTAAATAACACCAGTGAAATGAGTATTAGATTATTTACTAACATAATAAATTCAAAAATGGAAATCTCTGACTTTAAGATGCTAACTAACTCAAGATATCTCTTTACTGTTTCTTCTGGATGAGTCTGTCTGAAGAATAAAATTTCAAATAATAAAACCATCAGAGAAAAATCGGGTTAGGGAACCCTATCCATATGTTTTCTACAGAACAAACTAGTAAGTTATGGAACACAAGGAAGAATGCTTGATAAAATATATATGTACTGTGTAACACCAATGCAATCATTTATATCTGGATTACAATACAGAAATCAAAACTTGACCTGCAAACGCCGAAGAATAGGCTTCTGCCACCGTTCCCGCTGGAAGACAGAAATGTGAATTCCAAGAAAAAGAGATGTGTTAGATTCATCTTTAACATACCAAATTACTAAAAATCTAGCAATGCTGATAATAAAAAAGAAAACATCATAGCACCAATTAATTAGTCAAGCACTTTGAAGTCCATTGCATTTTGTTACATAACTGAACAATGATAGAGATATCAAGAAACTTATCACCATGCATATAAAGTCCAGTATATTTAAAATTGAATAGGAAGTTCCCTTTTTTTAAAAGGAAAAAAGGAAAATAGGAGGCACAAGCTATCCCAGACACCACAGCTATCAAAAAACAAAAAAATAGGAAGTCTTACATCAAGTCATATAACCACATACAATTTTTTTTGGAACTTCTATTTTATTTTAATTTTTTAAACTAAAACACCATACAACTTGTTTAATAGATGTTTTGAACAATAATCCTTAGGACTATATATATCCAGTAAATGAGGTCTTCTATCTATCAGAACGAATTACCTAATAGAAGCCACATTTCCGTTCACAACCATTTAAGATACATAGTTTCAGCCATCCCAAACGATCCAAACTGAAATTTTTTGTCCAAAAAGGATTGCATTAGCACCTATTGTGTATAGCTTCTGATACAAACATGATCTGAAATTTGACAGGATAGGTTCATCTGTAGACTTACTGATTACAATGGCCACTACTGATCATGCTAGTATAAGAATAAGTGGAGAGGAACCAGAATCAATACCAACTAAAATAATCCCTCCAACTGGAATCCCATTTACTTTTTCTTCATCAAATTACACAACATAAAATGATGTTAAATCACAGTATCACACAACATAATTTGGTGAGGAATAGGTACCTTGTCTTTCCAGTAAGTATAAATTGACTGGAAAACTCCATATTTGATTGTTAGAGATTGCAATGCCTAGATTTCAGGAAAAGAAAGAAATGACAACCGTTAGACTCAACGCAAGCCAACTCTCTTTAGAAAATAAGTAAAACTACTGAATTACAACAGTCAGAGAAGCAAATTAATCTCACAAAAGAAAACCAGTCATGACATCTGAAAATTAAGATCACGCAAGAAGCAGAAAGCTCTTGTACATGTTAGCTCTTGTAAATGTTATGCGTTTATAACTGAATAAATTAAAATATACCACCACCACCACCAAAAAAATGTTGCCTCCATAGATTAAAAAAGGGCATATATTCAATACATAGACATAAGTTGCAGACTGATGCTTCTCAGTGACACAGTAATTTTCAGACACCTCCTACAATAGATGTTGTCCCTTTCTATTGAACTGACACAACGCATACCAGAACACAGAAATTTTCAACTTGACAGTAAAAAATGCCAAAGAAGGCCAATGATCTCAAACTTTCTTTACATGATACGTCCTTTTAGTTAAACACGATTTCTGTCTTAGAACTGATATCACCTCTTCAGGTCCTTAACTAAGAATTTTAGAAGTTAACAGTAATCTTCATGTTAATTAAAATTAGAACCTATCTCTTTACTTAACAAATATTTGGAAGTATGAGAAGTCCATCATGTATAAGAATCGAACTCTTTCGTCTCAAAGTAACCCTTCTTCAATCAAGGACCAGAAGCTACACATAATTATCATTGAATTTTGGTAGTTTTCTGTAGAACACACAGTTAACCATTGGGGATACCACAACATCAGTGACTTTCTGCAACTCTGCAATATATTTGCATCCATATTCAACAGCTTTATGTGGAGGCTTTTTTTCAGGAATACATAAAAGAGCAGGAAAACAGTGAAACCAAACAACCAAAAGAGACACTAACTGGCACTAGAAAACTTATAGCACATAATGAATCCTCTGAATATTCCTCCCATGCATCCCTTGAGATCATTTAATTCATCGGATCACTTAGTCAAGAAACAAAAGCAGAAGGACTACAAAAGAAAGAAATTGTTTTGGTTCTTCTTCTGATCATTCAACATATTGCCTCTAAGAATTCTGTTGTAATTTCGCAGACTAACATAAGAGGTAAACTATATAATGAACATAGATTCTCTACAAAGTCCACATTAACAACAAAAAGATGAAACTTATTACCAAACCAACAGTATTAACTACTCGAAAGGATCCTTTTAAATAACAAAGCAACAAAAAGTCAAAAGTAAAACCAGAAAACAGAACATATTAAGCAGAGACATTTTCACCTCAACAGAAGCATCGAAACTTAGAAGCACCGGGATAGGTGAGTTAAGAGTAGGAGTAATCACTCCTGCTCTTTCTCGGGCCTTGTGATCTAACACCTCTAATTTGTGCAGAATGGTCTCCAACCTATATCAGGCAAAAAGTAATGTCTGAATAAGCAAATCCAAAATTCAAATCATGAACAAGGTTAATATAATTGGATAGTTACAAGATGAAGATAATTTATAATTAAAGAAAATGATGAGGATGAAAGAAAAATATTTGAAGCAAAATACAGAATAACAAAGAGATAGAGAAGACAGATAGCAGTGTGAGGGAATAGGGCATAGCAGTCTGACTGAGTTGGAGAGCAACAAGGAAAACAGAAGTGCTCAAACAAATGTTAGTCTGTTAATTAGTCAACTATAGGAGAACTTGTAAGGTTTAAACTAAGGAAATAAAGCAGTCTATGCTGCTAGAGCTAATGAAACTAAGTTAAGTAAAAGGAGATAGTGACAAACAAGTTTTTGGCATATCAGAAATTGTACCTCACATGCGATTAAAATCAGGTTACAAAATGGATGGGCTAGTTAATATGGACTGTCAGACAATACGCAGAAGACTCTTGATCAAGGTAAGGTCAAGGTACGTAATCTAAGAAGATCCCAAAAATTATTGAGCTTTTGCTCTAAACATCCCATGTCATATAACATGTCCTTGTATTATGATCACCTTCGCCTGCGCAAGCTTTGACCTCCAGAGCCATGTAAGGATTCCAGAAGAATGGCTTGAGCGTCAATGTGGTTCAAAGCATCAAAAGTGAAGTCAGGATTCCATTATTGAAGCACACCGGAGCACTTCAGACAACACTGGCAAGATCAGAGAGAGGCTCTTTCCCTAAAATTGGGCTGTCGTGATTTATTAACAACTATCTGTGTAGCACTTCGATTGGCTAATATATAGCTTAAGAAGTTGTAATATGAGTATATAATGGAAGCATTCTATCTCCTTTTTCTTTATAACTGGATGGTGGAGTCCTGGCAAACTTGATTGCACCTCGACTAATTTTACCGGGGATCTGCTACCAGCACAGACACCGGTAGCTCTACCAATCAAGGCTCGGCATATGAAAAGATATCACTTATTGTTTTTGTCTTCGTTGATATTTGAACCTGTTCATCCCACTTAATTGGCCACCAGGCCACTCCCTTGGGTGCAGAATCATTCTATCTCCTTATTTTTCTTAAATTTTGATTTCTAGGTTGCCTAAGCTCTGGTGTCGTGGTCACATATAGTGCTGATGAGTTATAATGATGCCTGCACCGGAAACATCCATAATCCTTTCTTTTTTTGGTTTTAATTAAGTTAAGGACCATACATCATTAACTTTGGATGGGTTTTAGCAGGCCTCAATTCTTCTCTTTTTTTTGTGAAATTAGCATATCTTACTTCTTTTGACAGAATGAATAGTTGCACGTACTAGAATTTACCATATCCACAGAAGTGCAACAATTAATCCAGTAAGTACTACTAGTAAAAAAAAATAATCGAACAGTGCAAACAAGAAAGATGGGAAGACCAACAACAGGAGAAACAGATAGTAATAAGTAATCATTCAGAAGTAAATTAATGAGGTAAGAATGAAAACAAGACTGCGAATGAAAACAAGACTGCCACCAACAATTAAACAGATAATGAAAACAACACAATATACATGTAGGAATACAGTAAGATTTTTACTTTTCAGCTGCAAGAGCCTTCCTCTCTCTGTTTAGGTCTTGAAGCCAATCTTCATCCTCATTGTCAAGATCGTACTCAACAAATTCTCCAATCTCGGCTCGGGCTATAGTTAATTTAACAAAATTTCAGTAAGTTCTTTTTTAATATACAGAATAAACAGCATATAGTAAGGTTTAGAGGTTACTATCAACTTTGAAGAAAACTAAATACTAGTCATATTCTTCGCATACCTCCTCTAGCATGTATATAAGATGTTGGCTGTGCAAAAGTGCGTGAATAATCTCTTTCATATGTATCCACCACCACATACTCGGGTATAGGTATTTCAGGAATAAACTTCTTGCTAGAAGTCTGTTGTACCTAAGGAATAAATTTTTCCAGCACAATCAATTTAGCCAAAAATACAACCTATCCAGATATCAAACCTAAATTCCACATCTTATTCTGCACCATAAACTTCACAATTACGAAAATATTCTATGATTCTAGTAGACAACTTCCAGTGGAGTTCAAAGCAAGAACAGTTTCCTCATAATGCAAAACCCAATAATGTCAAGATCTCTTGATACAATTTCTCTCAAAAGAGATCTCTTGATATAAATTTTAAAAACGATAAAAAGAAAGATAAGTAGACTTCTGAAAGTAAGTTGATGGCATCTAAGATACAAGGAAATCAAAATAGATTATTGAACATCTAATTTTTCATCTCTCACTTAAAAAAGGATGCCCATATCCCAAAGGAGTTGAGAGCACTGAACAGCAACAGACTTAACATCTCAAACTATCCTTCTAGTATTTAGGATATACCAGTTTTATGGCTATGCCTTAGTCACTTCAGGGGAAGAAACACTTGGAGAACTCTTTAATTATCACAGATCACTTTCTCGCAATATTCTACAGTGAATGAACTAAAAATGGCTTCACTTTGTTTTCTTGTGCTTCAAAAGTAGAATAGGTTAAACATACTAAGAAAATCATAACCCGTAGTAATCAGATATTGCACCTTAGTGTCCCACAACAAAGGTTTCCCCAAAAACACCTTCACACCAAAGATGCCTGAAAACTTTGATTAGGGGAAATACGGAGTATTAAAACCATCAAGGCCTAAAATTCTGACGACAAGTACTTTACAATTCCAAAGATCTGCATCTCATAAAGAACACCACCAAATAAAAGAAGAAGCAGTCCACGCTTCATCATTCAAAACAAAAGAAGGAAGACCACATTTAGCAAGTAAATGCTTGTCAGGTGGCTCATACTTTTATCATTCAATAACACTAAACCATCAGTAACACTGACCTAAGTAAAAACTAAAACTACAATAATTACTGCCTGCTGCCATTTCTAGAATGAGGAGTCTTCTGATGACTTATGATCTCCTATTTTAATTAGAGACCAGCAGAAGCGAAAGGGAAACAATACATAAAATGATTTTCCCATGAAAACAGAGTTTCAAGTGAGAATTAGAAATAGAAACAATTCAAACACCATATCAGAAGCTGATCTAAAAAGCACTAAGTCCACAGTATGCATCTCTTAAGAAACTTGGAAAACGTCTCTAGATACTACATTGAATGAATTACCTCCTTTTTTTTTGGATATGTTCATTGTCAACTTGAGCTAACAAGATAAGTACACCACACCAATAGAAGCCCTCAAACACAGTCATACAAGCTTCAGAGTACCTTTCTTGAGCATCATGACTTATTTTATCATAAATTTGTGCAACAAACATTGTTTTGAGCATTCTTTTATAAATGTCATAGAATATCTGACTTTAGTTCAAGACAGAAACTGAGTTGCATGGTATGCATTATACTTCCAATAATAGGGAAAAAAATACCAAAAAGACATTGCCCAACACTCTGTATAGGCGATTCTCAAGACAATTAATTCCCCTTTGTTTAACCAAAGCATGTGAATTACATCCGTACACACTTTAGTTAACAAGCTATTCTTGGCACCAAATCCAAATTCATTGAATTATTATGGTTATTGACAGTAAATTATCAGCAAATAGAGACACTTACCGCTAGGCTAAAAATTTCACAGAACGTATGAAGAACCCAATACTCATTTTTTGCATCTTTTTAATAGCTAAATGTCTGCATGACCTTTCTCAATATTGAGGAACAAAATGAACACCTAAACAGTCATTTCATCTGCATACTCAAATATATTACTAGAGCTTCATGTTCTACTAACGCTGAACATACACATTCAAACCATGCAACATTAACAATCAACTAAGAATAAGAATTCAGTATTATCAAACTTGTTTTCAGCAAACCTCAATATCTGCCGCTTCGGCAGCTAGACGAATGATTTGATTGCGGGTATTGGACTGTGAATCATCATCTTCAAAATCCTTTACAGATTTTACAATAGGTAACTTCTTGTGAATGTCAAGTGGGCGTGGCCTAAATGAGAGTCTACTCATTATCACGTCAACTCATTATCCAGACAAATAATGAAAACTTGTTTCTTTTTTCTCTTTTTGCCAGCTTCCGCTATGCATTACCACAAACAAATGAACTCGAAATTAGTGCAAACAGTTATGAAATAAACTTTCAGGTCATTTCAGAATTCAAATAAGCCGACTTTGACTTCCTAGTCACCATTTCAATTCGAATACAACGGTCGAATTTACCTGTTACCAAGGCGGACTTGCTGAAAACCTATCGGTCGAAATTTAGCGCGGGAGAAGAGGTGTTACGTTCAGGGATGGTGATCGCCGACGTAGATATTTTGAACGGCTAATCGCCGGAGAAGAAAGGAGATCGATAGCGTCCGGCCGGTTAGGGATTTTATATGGGGCTTTTGATTGGAATGAGATGTCGGTTAACCCAACAAGGTGAGACGCAGACCTGGACTAATACTCCGTATATTTTGTTGGATTTTGCATTTTTATAAGTAAAATTATTACATTTAATTACAACTTATACCTATAATTTTGCTCAAATAATAAAAATTATTTATAAGATTTAGGATACACCATAAATCTGTAGATACATAAAACATAGATTACAAATAATACATTAATTAAAACGAGAGATATATCTCTAAGATATAATAAAGATGTATTCAAAAAAGATTTTTATAAATTTTTTAAAACGAAAAGAAATTTTATAAATAATGGTAAAATAAGATGTGGATTTATATATTTTTTTCCTTTTTAGAAACACTATAGATATAAATTGAATTATTAGGTTAACAGATTGTAAACAATTTTGTAAATATTTTTATTAGATTACCAATTTGATTTTCGTTAATACGATAAGATTATATTAAATTATTATTTTACTTTTAATTATATGTTAGTGTGCTTAACATTTTATTAATACTATTTTCTAAATTAAGTACTTCTACTCATAAGCATAATAAACAAGCTTTTCTATTGCGATACATTTTTGTTCTTTCCATAAATTAGTGTTATCTTTCAATTTTATATTTGATTGTGATAAAAATGAATAATTAATGATGGTTCCTTAATTTATTATATAAGTCTTTAGAACGAATTTAAATAATTTTGTCTTAAATAAAATTGATTAATATAGAAATTTGGAGATTTGTATTGCACGTCTATTCGTGCTACTACTTTTATTTTATTAACATTGTTTACAACTAATTTTATGAGTATTTTCTTATCGATTAAATCGAAAATCAGAGGATTAAGAGTTTAAAATTGATAATAAATATCTAATACATAACCAATCAATGCGCACCCTAATCCTACATCTAACAATATACTATATATATATATATATATATATATATATATATTATTTTTTTATATTAGAAGTGACACTTGAGGGTGTACGAACACTGCTATATGCAGTTGTACTAAAAGTAGCAAAAATTGTACAATAAATTTGGGCTTATTTTGAATTCAATGTCACGTGTATGCAATGCCCTCCAATTTGTCTTTTTTTAACAGACACGTAATATTATCTTACCTTTGTGGGAGACAACTAATTTTCACTTACAATCCCCAAATTTCTTTAGGCTTCTCTTCCTTATACTTCTCTCTCTTTTCTCTTCACTTACAGTTCCCAATTTTCTTTAAGGGTTTCTATTTCTTATACTTCTCTCTCTTTTCTCTGCAAAATTGATGCATTTCTTCCTCCAAATTAGTATAGAAGTAGCCTGGTCGAAAAGTTGTTCACGTTTTCCTTTTTTTGTCTGTTTATTTTTCTAAAAAAATTGAACAAATCACAGTTTCAGTTGCTCTCTCACCCTAAGTCGGAAACTGAGTACCAAGAAATTGTTCAAAATTTCCAACTTTTCTGGAACAAGCTTCAATAATTTTCCGCATCACTGCTTACCATTTTCAAGTTAGTCTAATTTTCGTTTTCTTTTCTTTCTATTTTATAACTTCAAAAAGTATTTGGAGCAGTTTATTATTTGCATGTTACAGTCATCACAAAGAGGAATCTCTTTTGAGGTATAAATTAATAGGGTAAGTAGAAAGTTGGTTGTTTTTTGTTATAGTAGATGGTAATCTATTTTAGATTTTGATAGATTTTCTAGCAAGTAATATTGCTTCATTTTTCGAGTTTCTATCAAAATTGTGTGGACTTCTAGAACAAGAATTGTTTCTTTTTCCTCTTGCGCTTTTGTCTTTTCAATTTCTTTTCGTGTTTTCCATTATTTTTGCAGGAGCAAATTTTGCAGATTGTTGACAAAGTTTGGTACTTGCCTGGTTCCTAACAACATATAAAGGTATGAGGTGAAATTTGTTCCTTTTTTCTTTGTTTTGTTTTCTGTGTGTTTTTAATCTTTGAAGATTAACTTAGAAGCGTGCCACTTGATACCTTTCTCTATTTAGAACTTGATACCATGAAATAGTATAAACCTTTTTATTTTTTGATAAGGCTCTATTTTTCAGCTAATATATAATATCTTGAAGTGTTTCATTGCAGGATTGCTTTGAACCTATAGTTGTTAAAAGATATGTAACTGTATGTGTGAACTTGTGTCTTCTAACTATAATCAGGATGTTTTTAGACAAAAGGAGCTTCGTTGCAGCATTGTGCAGTTTAAAATTTGAGAAATATTTTATTTTGTATATCATAAGTTTCAAGTAAGTCATCAGTCATGAGCATAGATACTATGTATATCATAAGTTTCAAGTAAGTCATCAGTCATGAGCATAGATACTATGTTAATATAAAGTGGTCATTAAATATTGTTTGTTTGTAGTCTCAAACTATGCATGGGCATGATAAATGTAAAACCTCAAATGGGAAGATATAATCATCATCTAAAAGTCTGTTGGATGACACGTTTCAACCTCTGGTATTTTGTAATTCTTATAACTCCCATAAGACAAACAAAGAGTGTCACTTTCCAACTTCAACTCTTTAATTACATGACTTTGTCGAAGGATAATGGAGAAGGAACGTCAAGTCCTCACAATTAAGCACAAGTTTGTACTGTAATTTTTTTTATCGTTGCTATTTCTACTCCTTGCAACAACTCAACTCACATACATAATTTCTATCAAAATTGTACACGAGACCAAAAAAGAGACTTGGGCTTTCGACATTTTAATATGAGCAATGTTGCTGACATTCATATAAATTGTAATAAGGAAAATCCTTATCTCTGTGTGTTTGTGTGTTTGTGATACTATAAAACTCTAGCCTTCCTTTTCTCTTTGGTTAATGTATTTCCAAGTTTGTGATTTCACACCGCAATGAAAGCCTATTTACACATTGTTTTTTGTTTAACTTTACTGCATTCATGTATGTTTTTGTTGCAAAACAACAAAATCAGTGTCGTCTCATAAATGGGCTCTAAGAGGGTAGAGCGTACGTAGACCTTATTCCTTCCTTGACGAGGTAAAATATAAGGTTCTGACTACACGGTATGACGTTGCAAATAAAGAATTAAGTTTCAAACTTCAAACTATCTCAATATTTTTCTGAACATTCTACCATATTTTTTATAATAGAAAACACACTCTCTTCCAGATTTCAATCTACGAACTCTCTCTGGCTTTTGCAATTTCAGTTAACTTTTACCCACAATTTTACATCTACTAATCTTTTATTTCTCTGCTTGGTTGTTTCAGTTTTGATATTCCATTTTTTTCTAAAATTTCTTCCCTCAAATTCTTTGTTTATGTCATTATTGTTTGTTTAGTCGGATCTTGGCTGGATGGAGTTTAATTCATTTTTTTGAAAAAAATAATTTGATAAGTATTTTTCCTTGTAATTATATGTATCTCCACTCATACAAAAAACAGTTTGGTAGCTCAGATATTGGGAAAATCAAAGTTTAGGAAGATGAGCGCATGAGAATATCTAGAAACTCTTTTAGAAGAAATGAGAACAGGAAGAAAAAGCAGAGCACTAACAAAATAATTCACAATAGGGAAACTTACATGACCATGGATATGAAAAGAAACCTTTGCAGTTCTCTCAGAAATTGAGGAGTTAACGAGCTACTCAAAGATCTATACATCAGTATCTTTGTTCATTTCTTGAACTCCTAAAAAGTTCCTATGTACATTTCGAGACTCTTCAATTGTTTGGTCCACCAGTAAGGTAAGGGATAACTAAAAAAGAAGTTATATCGCAACACAAAGAAGTGAACGTTAAACAAACTCTGTAGAAAGAAAAATAGAAATTTTTTGAAGAGAAGAACCTAATAATCTTACTCTTTCTTAACTTTTATTATGTATATAGCTGCAGAAGAACATCCAGAAGTAAATTGGACAATTTTGACTGAATAACTACAACATTTAACACTAAAGAGTGAATAAGAATGAGATGAGGACAGTTGAGAAACTCACCCAAAGCTCGATGACACCTCAAAGAAGCAAAGGAGAATGAGAGTTGTAGAGAGAAAGATAATATAGTGAAGGACATTGAGAATTGTAGAGTTAAATCTAATACATAAAACAAAGAGTTAGATCTAAATTGATACATGTATTTTACTGAAGTAGAAAGACAGCGCACATATCTAATTATTAATGAAATAAGTTAAACGCTATAGTACAAGTGATACTACTTTTTATAAAACTATCAACTTAACTGTTAACACCTTGTGTTTACTTATTAATAATAGAAATTCACGAACTAAGACAACATGGAGGTACATTGTATATGTGTTTGGCTGTGTGTATGTAGTGTAGTGCATTTGGAAATTTTCTTGGGTCTTCACTCTTTCAAATTTGACTAAGGATGTATTGAAGTTGTGTAAATAACTTAGAAAACAAAAGAACTGGAGCAATAATAAATCTAAAGGGACTTCGGAGAAAGAACAAATTAAATATATATTTTCATCTTTAAAGGTGTTTTATTTTCAAAAAATAAATTTGTTTGAGCATCAGAGTGTCTATGCTCGAGTCTGCCTCTTGGACAAATGAAGTTATTGCCTCCTCAATTGAATGAAGGAGAATGCGAACAAGAGAAATGTTGTGGTTGTTTTGGCTGATAATGAAAGCAAATCACGTGTTTGATATGGGTCTCTCTAACAAATAGATAAATAAATTTTGTTTTATGAGCTATTTTTTGCTCAATTTAGTGTCCAATGCAGCAAGTAGTAGCAAGAGAATGAAGGAAAATTACATAGTAATACAACTATTGTAATATAATGCATCTTAATTAGCAAGAAGTAATTAACTTTGGATATCATAGCTACCAACTGAGATTTGGATAAATAATTGAATATAGGGAATGAGTTTTTGAGGAATAGATGGAGAATGAAGGAAATTTACCTGGTAATACGATTACTATTTTGAAGAATTGATATGAGCAACATTCAAAATGTGGCCTTATCCAACTGGGAGTTTGTCACCTAATTAATTGATCATATCTACATACGTATATTATGAATTAACAAACTTTGTTATGTTGCAAGTATACTTGATTTTTTACAAGTGT